GGATATTTGTTTTTATAGGACAGTTTTTCAAATAATGTCTTATAAAGTTGATAATGAGACGTTTTATATTAAAAGTGTCCTAAAAAACTTATTACGACGTCAAAAAACGTTATATAAACTTATTACAATTTTTTTGGTCCTATAAACTAAGCCCTATAAAGAGGTGTATTAAGACACTTAGAATTTTGGAATGTTCTACAAACCCGATTTTGTTGTAGTATTTAAATGGTATAATGAAGTAAAATATAATGTATATTTTTCATGTTTCTATTTTAATAAATGTATTTTTGTTAACTTTATTTAATATAATGTATATTTCGATACAATTAATATTGGAACATAATACAACTGTGTATGATCTGGGTTGAGGCATATGTAAGGTTGAGATTTTCGGAATTTTCGTATTAATGTAAATGAAAATTCAACCGATGTATTATAACTAAGTAGTCATTCTTTAAAAAATCCTAAATAAACTCAAGAGAGAAGAGTAAAGAAGGGCCACTGAAGATTCAGAGTTTGCGTTCAAGTTCTTATATATCCAGATGACAGGTTTAAGTAAATCGTTATGTTTAAGTCATAATCAAATGTTGTTGATATATTGAGACACAAAATGAGTTGATTGGTCGTGGTTTTGGGGGATGGCCTGATGATCGTCATCAAACAATGACCACCATCGGAGCCAACAATGAAACCTACGATGGGTTAAAATGGTTACAATATAATTTATCAAATGCATGAGAAATGAAGTTGAGTTTCAACAATACTTGTACGATATTTTGATAAAACAAGAATTTTTTTAATGGATACGATTTCGTCTCTATGATTTACATGATTCAATGTCCGGGATTGGATGATGTTATATATGGTTTAGTACTCGAAAGTTGCAAGGACTTAAATTCATTTATGGGGGGTATTTGAGAAAACTGTAATGATTTGATCTGAACAGATTTCCATGATGAATATGTTGTTGTTCCAAGGATATTGTTATATCAGGTTCTCAATAACATAACACAGCTGTTAATTATTGGTATTATGACAATAACAGCTGTTGGCAACTCCATTAGTCAATTTGCAACATGTTAGGGCACATGTTTAGCAGTGGTATAATGAAAAGTTAATAGTCGGTTGTCATAAACATATTGGAACTTCATGTGATATTTTTGAGTTGCATGCAATTGAGTTTTTTATTTTCTAATGATGGCTTATTCATGTGGTCTATTCTATTTAAGCATGCAAGAATGTGTTTTATTCTAGAGGATGGACGAACATGATTTTATCGTACATTGTGTTATGTGTGGTTGCCGTAAGATCAAGCAAGTGGGTCAGCCGGACAGAGGATGTAAAAGCATGCAAGTGGGCTAGCCATGTTCAAAATTAAAAACCGTAAGAACAGGTAAGTGGGGTCAGTTGGGTTTGTGAACTTAACGCCACAATTGTATTTAGTTTATGTAATGAAATATGTCTGTGAAATAATACATGGTTTTTAACAGTGTTTTAGATGTAAGATTCTGAATAAGTTTTGAAAATTGTTGACCGTTGACATGACACGTCATGAAAATTATGGTTCTCGACAAGTTTAAGATTAACTTAAACTTTTTTATCAGCTAATTTATCAACCAGTAACTAATTTTTCAAGAACTAATTAATCAATCGGTTTACGAAACATAACTTAAATTAAAAACAACAATTTATGTGTCGGACATATTATTGACATGCAACGTTCTTCCCTTTGAAATTTTAGTTTTTATATTTCTAATGGATTTGAATATTTTTATAAAACTATTATAAGATGTTTATTCTCTATTTGATTATGTTTATCCGCAGTTAATTACACGAATTCAAACATAGAGCTTTAATAAGTTGTACTTATACACAATTTACTTGTAATTTTGAATTTTAAGTAATATGCATTAATAAACAGTACTTTGACATAATTTTTTTTAAGAATAATATATATATATATATATATATATATAAAATAACCAAATTACATCTCAACCAAACTAAAACTACGATCTAATTCACACAAAACCCAAACTACAAACATGACATCATACAAAATTAAGCAAATTTGGTCAATGTTGTGGTTGTTAAAATATGAATTCAAACATTCTTAAAACATTTTTTATTATTCAATTTTGTTCATAGATATATTTTAATTAATAATTAATTGCTTTAATGTAAATTACGTATTTGTCCTTTGTTTTATGAGTTTGTATGGTTTTCGTCTCTATAATTCATTTATTATGATAAAACCCTTGATATAATGTTTTTGTTTTTCAATTGGTAAGAATCCTTAAACGTTCTTATGAAGACAGTTTGGTCAATTTATCTTTAAATGATGTGTCAAGAATATGACGGTTGGTAATTTTATAAATTATTACAGTATTATTATTTTCTTTATTAAGATTTTGACCATTACAACCCATCACGACTTTAGACCACTCCACAGTTCATACACAAGATGAAAAGAACGTGTTCACGGAAAAGTTTGTGAGCATGTATAACAAATACTATGAACATATACAACAAATTTGTATTCATTCTTAAAAGTTTGTGATACATCAATAAGCATATACAATAAATAGCATAAACGTAAAAAAAAAATAAAAAAAAAACCCTAGATCAAGACCACAAATAAAAATAAAGATGGTTGGGTTCATCAATTCAACTTGACTTTCAAGATTGACAATACAAGTCCTTCTGATCTCAATTTTTAACCACAAGGGTGATGCCTGATTGGTTTGAGCTTGGCTCCAAAGGTTAAAAGTATCAGGAGGTTTCAGGTTCAAATTCAATGAGGAATAAAAACCCTCTTGTGGACATGAAGGTTCAAATGCGGTTACTCCGGGCTATCTGCAAAGCATGTGGTCGTCCTGAGATTAGTCAGCTCGCATAACAGGTTGGATATCCAGGTTAATCAAAAAAAAAAAAAAGATAAATACCATAAATCAAAACAGCTACAATCATATTCGGTTAGAGTTTCGTGCTCATTGTTCCTCAACACCCGCATACACATGCAAGAGAAGTCAAGGAAAGAGAGATAATAGAACTAAAAAAAAAAAAACTTCAGTGGTTGTTATCGTCTCTACCATCGTCGTCGCACTCACAGGGTTCTTGGATATGGGTATTTTCAACTAGTATTCATCATCCATGGAATTTGAGGTTATGAGTTTGATACTTGGCTGGGTACCATAGAGAAGAGAGACCGTTTGATCTTCAAGGACGGACAGAATTCAGAGATGAGAGAAAAGATACAAAAGGTTTATGGTTTAGGGTGAAATGTAACAAATTTCGAGATCAAGGTTTTGTTTTAGGGAAATAGTAAAATGACAATTTTATCCTAGTATGCAGGACATGTGATGACACTTAACAATAAATATAAAGTCAGATGTAAGCAGTTAAATCAAAACAAGAATATTACTTCGATAGTTTTTTTTTTGTAATAAATAATCTGTAGGAAGGGAAACAACAGAATAAGAACCCATATTAAAAATACCTCAACTTGTCAGATTTTAAATTTATCTATCAACTATCGCTAATTTAAATATTATCAGTAAAACATCTGAAAATTATTTAAGATACGTATAAATTGACTTCAAAATAGAGTTATACAAAAAAAGTCGTGTTGGACCAATTTCCACTCGGTAATAAATTTAAATAATTAATGTTATTATAAATGTGGTTATTAAATTAATTATGGAAATTTAAATGTCAAAGCCCAAAGGTAATCATCACGATGTGTGATTAGGACATGATGCATACGTGTAAAACGGCGCGTATGCATTTTCATTTATTTTGTACTTTTCTCTTTTTTAATAAAATCAAGAATATTCGGAAGGGCATTTTTGACATTATAAAATAATAAAAGGGGCCATTATGAAAAGGCAAATAATTCATAACTCCAGTCCCGCATATATGGGTTGTCAATTCCAAACGGGTTTCTATGTCTCCTTACCCTCAATGTCTGCTCCTATTTACAATTTTGCCATTTTGGCACTTATTTCAATCAACCCCCTATAAATTCAATACGTTCCAAGTTTGCTCCTCGTTCATATCTTATCCAACAAAATACACCCTCGTTTTTTGGCTTATTTTTATCTGGTTTGGATTTTGCTCGTCCTTCGTGTGACATTAGAAATTTATATCGAGTTTTCATACAAAACTGCTCATTTTATCGAACATTGAGAGGGCGAGCAAGAAGCAACTTTTTAGTGCATGACGAATTATTCAATATTTTTTTAAGTAAATAACTTCAATATGGTTAAATGGATTACATATATTAATGTTAGTTTACGTCGCATCTTAGCATGGCCAATAAGAAACAGTTATTCAAACAACTTCTGTATAAATGGTTGAAACAGTTACTGCACGCTATAATTAATCTAATCAAATGATGTTTTAAAGTATGCGTTTTAAGTATATGAATCTCAAGAAATGCATGTTTAAAATCACCTTCTAGTTTTTCTGTAAAAGTTTGTGAAATTGCTTGTGGTATGTTTGGTCTATTTTGTACATTTACAGAAAAACAAAAAAATATTGTTACAGTTAACAGTTTGCATTTTACAATACAAGTTTTGGTTAGTCTTTAGTCAATCAAGAGTTAGTTTTTTTCAACTTAACTATGTTAAGAATAAACGTAGAAGTTAGAAGTTCAAATATGTTGACTATAAGTATTGATTTTTTTTTTCAAGAAAAGTCATAGATACTTTTGTGAATTTTCAATTTCCAAGGGGGCTAAGTGTCAACATCATACTTGACGTATAACTTTGACTATCCAAAAACTTGAGGGACTAAATTCAAAATATCCAAATAACAATTTATTTTACACTTTACTACCCTCCTTTCTTGTATATATACCTCCTCATACTCCATTCACCCCCACTTTCTCTCAACTAACGCCTATCTCCCTCTCTCTCTAACATTTTGTACGGCTTTTCTCTCTCTCTCTCTCTCTCTCTCTCTCTCTCTCTTTTCGAGATCTTTCCATTTTAAAGAACCATGATGCAGATCGGCTCAACAGTTCCGGCACAAAATCTTCACATATTTCAGGCAAGACGTGCCGTTAACTGTAATGGGTCGTCGGTGAAACCGGCACTAAAAGCTTGTTTATCGAAGAAGATGATGAAAGCTACCAGTTTATCGACCACCAAATACACCCGAGAACACCTCTCGAATCTTGAAAAATTAATAGGTACAGAACCTCAGTTGATCCAATCGAAGCCTAAAGTGGTTCAGAGAGATAGTTCCGATAATGGGTTGCCGGAGAGTAGAGGAAAAGGTCTCTTGGAAGGGTTGAATTTGCCCCAGATTTGGCCGGAAAACAAGGCCGCCGAGGAGATGTCTCCCCGACACCTCAACCGGCTCCGGCGGCTGTTGTCCAAAAACGGAATCGAATATTCTCCCCGGAACAGCCTGGCTTCCAGGTGGAGAGAGTATCATGGGAGCAATAATTGGGCGGGTTTACTCGACCCCCTTGACGAGAATCTCCGGCGAGAAATGGTCCGGTACGGCGAGTTTATTCAGGCGGCGTACCATTGCTTCCATTCTGATCCCGCCACCTCCGGCAAAGAAGCTCCTTCGCCTCGCCAAGTGGCGGTGCCCGATAGGTCTTATCGGGTAACCAAAAACCTGTATGCCACCGCATCGGTTGGGTTACCCGAATGGGTCGATAAGGTGGCACCAGATCTCGATTGGATGACTCAACGCACGAGCTGCGTCGGTTACGTAGCAGTGTGCGATGACCAACGCGAGATTTCTCGGATGGGTCGAAGGGATATAGTGATATCCCTTCGAGGAACTGCCACATGTCTTGAATGGGCTGAAAACATGCGAGACCTACTAGTCAACCTCCCAGCTAAGAGCATCGACAGTCATGGACAACCAAAAGTACAGTGCGGGTTTTTGAGTCTGTACAAGACGGCAGGGGCCCACGTCTCGAGCCTAGCCGAGTCAGTGGTTACCGAAATCAAACGATTAACCGAGCTTTACAAGGGAGAAAACCTTAGTATCACAGTGACGGGGCACAGTCTTGGTGCAGCATTAGCCTTATTGGTGGCAGATGATCTCAGCACTTGCTCAGATAACATGCCACCAATAGCAGTCTACACCTTTGGTGGTCCCCGCGTCGGTAACCGAGCATTCGCAAAGCGTCTCAGTTCCCAAAACGTCAAAGTGCTACGAATCGTGAACTCTCAGGACATCATCACTAAGGTTCCAGGGATGTTTGTGAGCGAAGGGCTGGATCAAAAGCTGCGGGAATCAAAAAACGCGAACAAGGTGTTGAACATTCTGGATAACAACATGCCGTGGGCATACGCACACGCGGGGACGGAGCTGAGAGTGGATACGAAGAACTCGCCGTACCTAAAACCGAACGCGGACGTGGCATGTTGCCATGATTTGGAAGCATATCTGCATTTGGTGGATGGGTTTTTGGCATCAAATTGTCCATTCAGATCAAATGCAAAGAGAAGCTTGGTGAAGTTGGTACATGAACAAAACTCAAATGTGAAGAAATTGTATACAAGCAAAGCAAAGGGGTTGAAGTTAAATCCAGAAAGGGATATGATGCAAATGTCTAATTGTTTGCCAAGTCCATCATAATTAATTAATTAATTAATTAATTTGTAGGACATCTTTTATATATCCTCTTTTTTTTTTTCAAGAAGGATCAATATAATCTTCTTGTTGATATCTATATCATAAACTTATGGTATATATACTATTAAAGGTGCATCTCACATCTCCAATGGATAATTAACAGATATGGACCTATAAATTTTTTCAACCGCTGGCACCGTTTGATTATAAGAAAAAAAAAATATAGGAAAAACTTTTCAAACGGTAGCACCATTTGACTATAAGAAACAAATGTACAGAGTTTTTTTCAAAAGATAGCACCATTTGACTAAGAAAATGACACTAACATGATTCAAACTTGAGTTTGGGGTGGAATAAAAGCCTTGCAAACCAACTTTATCAAATAAAACTTGTTCTCATTGTAGTTTCAAAATACATATGGTGGCACACAACATATTGATACGGTTGCATCTTTCATGAACCTAATTTTTTTTGCCCTTCGCTAGAGGAATAATATGGTGGCACGTGCCACCGTATGCTCTACTCTAGATCCGTCCATGGGATAATACCGAATCTACAACCATAAATGTGGTGTCTGATTGGTTTGAGCTTGAATAGTCAAAAGTACTAGGAGGTCTCAGGTTCAAATCCAATGAGAAATAAAAATTCCCTAGTAGCCACGGAGGTTCAAATGTGGTGACTCAAGGATATCTGCAAAGCATGTGGTCGCCCTGAAATTAGTCGACTCACATAACGGACTGGATATCCAGGTTAATAAAAAAAATACCGAATCTAAAAAAATGAGGAATTTTATTTATTATTGATTTGATATAAAACTTTACATCCCGCTAGCTAGCTACATAGTATGAATACACTTCTCTCTCTCTCTCTCCCTCCCCCTCCCCCCTCTCTCTCTTTCTTTCTCTCCCTCTCTCTCTTTATATACTAGTTGTGTACCCGCGTAATGCGGCGGGAGCCATGAATTTTAACGATTTTGAAGTCTCAATGGTTTTATAAGATAACAATTAACGATGATATAAGTTACATTTGGTTTTTCCATATTAATACAATTTGAATAAATAAGAGTTATGGTTCTAATTACATACTATCGATGAAAAAAATTGTATGACAGTTTAAAATCCAAAATATATTTAAAATCCAATATATTTAAACGACTCCACAAATGTTCGATTTACACCAAGAGCAAAGTACCAAAAAACTTGAGTTTTAAGATAAACACTCAAAACCAATAAATAAAACTACAAAATTAACATATCATAAGCCATGAAAAGACCAAAAAAGATGAGTTTCAGAATGAAATTTTAACTGTTTACCCTCTTTCTTGTCCAGAAACTTTGATTCAGGTTGAATTAATACATGTATATATATATATATATTTCAAAAAAATCTAAGAACATATTAGTTCAGAACATATTATATAGTGCAATTTGGACAAACTAACCCCAAAATATATAGTATATATATATATATATATATATATATATAACTATAAAAGTATAAAATCGTAAATATTAAAAATATTTTTTCACAGTATATATAATGTATAATAATATAATTAAGTAAAAAACTATTCAATATTGGACTCATTTCGAATGTATTAAAGAGACGATTATAATGGTGTAACTTGTAAAAATAAAAATGTATTTTTTAAACATGTTTTAATTGATATACGATTATGTATCTTAATTCGATAAATGTTTAAAATAAAACATTTAAAAGTAAAGGACGTAAAATAAATTAATTAACTAATTATAGTGGTATAAAGTGTAAATTTAAAATTATAATTTTAAAAAAATCGGTGGGATGAGTGTATGTGAGGGGTGAATACATATGAGGAGAGGAGGGGGTGAAAAAGTATATAAAGAGTATCTTGGTCATTTAGTATTTTAAAACTTTTGCTAAATTTGCTTTATAAGACTAGAAGCGTACTCGCGCAATGCAGCGAGATACATCGTGTATTTCATTTTAGTCTTTTTCTCAGTCGATGTTATAATATGACTTTATGTGATTTTGAGAAAGCGATGATGTTTTTATTTTTGAATAAAATATATGTTTGAAGATATCATAAAAAATTGACAAAAATATATCGATATTAGT